ACAGTACAATTGTAAATTCTTATATACCTTAAGTATTGCTACTTATATTTTAGAATATTCTGAAGCTTAACCTTAATTAGGACAATCTTGACTTTTACAAAGTGGTTTTAGTGCCACACAATCATAGCAATACATTTAACTACATAATTGCATTCATGTGGGTTTTTAACTACTTTATTACAAACTAAGCATATTAGATGTTGTTGAGGTTAAGGTTAAAATCGACTAATACCATACCCAGACATAATTAACTTTGTTGAAATTATAGTTACAAAATTTATAATTCATTATTTCAATTAAATTTATATTGTCTAGAATTCTGATAAAACAGAAAATGTTTTAAATCAAATTAAGTAAAAGCTTTTTTAATTGTAGTATTCAAATTGTTTAAGTTTAATTTTTCATTAAATTAAGATGTTTAGGTTTTAAAATAAATATAGTAGCTGAATAGTGAAAACAAAAGTATTTTTATCATCTTTATTAAAAATTTGCTTGTAAATTTAATCAAACTATTGTATTAATGGATATATAAAACTAGAAAAGAAAGAGTAAATTTTCATTCTCAGGTACTCCTACAAATGAAGATTCTAATACCTTATAATAATTTAAGAATGGGTTCAAAGGTAAAATCTATTTGTATTTTTAGTGATAAATTCTTTAATTGATAAATAAAAATGATAATAAAGATTAAGATAAATAAATTAAAGAGTTTTTAAGTCAATAAATGTTGAATTAGAAGAGGAAGATCTAAAATATATATAATTTGATATAAACTAGTAGTGGTGAAATTTTAGGAGAAGGCCGCATAGGTTTAGTAAAAGGTGTTATAGAAAATTTATACATTTACAATATTAATTTAATATTAGAAAATATAAAAAATTTAAAATGTATAGAAGAAAGAAGACGGATGCGAATTTGCATGTAAAATTGTAAAGACAGATACTAAAGATACTAAAGTGATTGTGAAAAATGTAAATAATGCATATTTATGAATTAAGGGATATTAGAATTTAAGAATCTTAAAAATTAAGCCATCCTCTATAGTTGCTATGAAGGAATTCTATATTTAATTAAATGAAGGATTTTAGATAACAGGAACAGTTTTAGCGGTTATGGAAAAGGTGAAAGGGAAAGAGATGTTTAAGGTAATTCAAAATTAAAAGAACTATAATGATTTTATTTGAGTAAATATTAGTTGCAAGAAAATATATGCATGATAATTACTGTTGTCATAGAGATTGAAAACAAAATAATATTTTATGTAAGTAATTACAGACTTTATATATAATAAATAATAAAAATTAAATATTTCAAAATTTACTGATATAAAGAATTTACAAATTTAAATTAGCAGGGTAAAATTGAAATTTGGACTTACTCAGGGATAGTTGCATTTTCAGGTGATTTGTATTATTAAAATATAATATTATGTAAAGTAAAAAAAATTGAATTAAATTAGTGAATAAGAAGATTTATGAAATGCAGGAGTACTATTATATGTGATGTTAAGTGGTGAATTACCCTTTAATTCAATTTATCTAAATGATTTAATAGATCAAATACAGAAATGTAATTATTAAATGACTGGACCAATTTGGGATAAAACCTCAATAACAGAAACGGATTAAATATCTAATTTATTATAATATGATCCTCTTCAAAGATTAACACTTGCATAAGTACTCGATCATCCTTGGATTAAAAATATGCAAATCTAATTAGAAATACCTCGAGATACTTAAGAAAAAAATATGCCTATATTCTTGATTAAAAAAACCAATTAAGAATCTGAATTAAGTACCAAAAAGATTTAATAAATATGTTTCTTATTTGTTGCTGGTGAAATCTGGAAACGTCTATCATTATAAAACTCTTCGGTTTCTAAAATCTAGGAAGATCTTAAGAAATTTAAATCTATTGATATTTCTACTTATAATAACTAGATCTAAGTAACTAATGATTCAAGTACAAATCATGTTTATCATATTGATTATCCATTTAATGATGATTCAGATTGAATTATATATCATTTCTATTTTCAAAATCTTCAACTCCTTTCTATCTAAATCCTGCAAATATTGATCCATATTGTTGGGATTGATTGGTCCTTACATTGTGATATCACTTTCCTTGACTTCAAATCCACTTTCACTATCATATGATGATTATGTTAAACCGTTATCAGCTGGAGCAAATGGAGAAACTACTCCTTTTTAATCAGGAATGAGATTCTTTTAAATTATTGGAGTTAGTTAATGTTCAACTGCATCAACAGGCATTTCACTTTCTGTTTTTCTTTGATCTTCTTAATTTTACATATAAACTGAACCATCATTCGAATGTTATTCTTCAAGTCTTTATTTTATTTAATTCTTCAATTTTTTTGTTCTTAATCAATCTATATAATTGAATGTAAAACAAGAAATATAGTAAGAAGGATTTTAGGAAATAAATGTTCATGGATAAAATTAATAGAATAAGAGGAATAGTCAGTAATATATACATCATTATCAATGTATTTTCTAATATAGCTAATTTTTATCCATTCAAAATATATGGCTCTTCTTTTATCTCAAATGTTGAGCTAAATGCGCTTATCCTATAACAATAAGTATCAAAATCACTGTTCTCATTGAAACAGATTATTATAATATATTAAAAAGATTTTATATATTTCAATTTAATTGGAACATATGTACGATTTGAAAATGAAATTTACAGTTAGTTTGTAAATTATTAATAGAAATTAAATAATAGAACATAAAGATCAATTAATTAAGAGAACTGTGTCAATATTAATAATTTGATATAATTATAGTTTTCTAGAGTAAATTCTCAAAAGATTATATTTATAATTTGTATTCGTTTTAATATAAAAGTTAGATATTAATATTTGATTTAAAATATTATTGTAGAAGTATAATATAAAAAATGAGAATTATATATGATAATAGGTATTATACAAAATGGGCACAGATCCAAAGATTGTGTTGGCTTAACATAAGGTATAACTTTGATTTTAGATTTATGCTAGAATAAGAAAAAAAGGATGCTGAATTTAAATTCGAAGCACTTAAGCATCATGTAATAGATCGTTACATGATTTTTCAACAAATTTGGCTTCTCATTAGAGTTAATTGAAAGCATATTAGAAATAATTGAGGTTTTATTATTGATTTATAAAATAGGAAAATAAAAATAATATTTAAAGATCACTTAATAAAATTGCAGAAATCTTTGTTGAAATTTAAGAGAATACAAAGAAAACTAATGTAGGATAGAGTGAAAGAGATATATAATATGCTGAGTTTTAATCCAAGATAAAAGATCATATGAAGCTATAAATGCAATCGATGAAGCATATGCTCTTATTGAAAATTTGTATAGCAGTGGTTCATCTTTTATTTAAGTGAAAAGAAGATTCAACAAAGTCTTATAAAGATTATGAAGGTAATCTTAGTGTATTGTGAATCAACTGGATTATTATTCTAACCGATTCTTACAATGATGATATAATTATCATCAAAGTCTGATTCAGACACAGCAAAAAAGTTTTTTTGTTGTCGGCCAATTTAAAAGTTTAAATTGTAGAAAGTAAAGGAAATGATGAATCAATTGAAAAATAATAAAGTCTCAATAAGTAATAATTCTTAGTAGACTTAAAAAATGAGAAGAAAAACACTTTGAACTTTCTATTATCTATTTTTTAATAATAGATCTGACCAAAGATAGAACTTAGAATAAGCAATTTAGAATTATTAAAGTATTATTGAAGAATCAGAAGGTAAAGTTGAATATTATGCTGCAGAGGTTAAAAGAAACTAGGTATAAAATATTGTTATATAAATATAGATTAACCTAGAAGGTTAAGACTAATCGTGTAGACAATAATAAGATATCTATTAATTAGAAACATAATCTAGAGTTTAGAGTTAAGATTTAATATCAAGAATATCAGATCACATTTAAGATAAGATAGTAACTCTAAAGAATCTCTTAGAGAAAGACTTCAGTTAAATTCATTATCTAAATATTCAACACAAAATAAAATAAATTATCATATATCTAAACTTTTATAGCTTATCTTAATTTTAATAATCTTTCTCAATTATATAAAATGTGTCCTAAAAGAACAAAAAAATTAATATTTTCACTTATACAAAAGAACAAATTATTATGATTCTATTTTGATGAACTATATTCAATTTCAAAATCTAATACTATTAATATAATAAATTGAAATAAAATAAATAATAATTATGAGAAAAAGTAATTTTTAACTTTAAATTAGTTGCATAACGCTACTTTATTGTAAATATATTTATTTATTTATTTAAATTTCTTATGTTATATATTTAAATAGCACGGCTAAATAATATATTTGAATGAGTTACCTTATTTAAAAGATTGGTTTTTCATTTTCTACCATTTATTAAAATAATAATAAAAGTCTTTTAAATAAGTTTTCGATTTTAAATGTTTAGATTTTATTTGAGCCTTTAATTAATAAATTAAATGATTATGTTTGTTAAACAATAAAAAAAAATCGTACATGTTAAGATTAGGAATTTAAAAGAGAAATCTCTTTGTATAATACTTTAAATATATACTTAGGTAATTGAATGAGAAAGAGTTCTCTAAGATTAAGTTATAAGCAAAACTAATTTTCTTTCGGAAAATTTAATTTAATCAAAGAAAAATTAATTTGATCATCATTTTACTAAATAAATTATTAGAAAAAACAATATTATGGAATCACAATTAATTGTATTTTATTCCATTTTCTTATGTAGTAATTATAAAACTAAAAAATTTAATAAGCAATATAATTTTAAGTTAATATGGATTAGTTTTAAGATCAAATCAATATCCTAACAAAGAAATTGCAAGATCTTATAAATGAAAATAATTAACTCCAAGAATAATATTTGAGTTAACAATTTTATATCGAAGAATTTTTATTCTAAGAGTAAGATCAATTCAATGATATTCATAACTTTGGATAAATGCAAAAAAATAATTATTTGTTATTATTTAATTTTTAAATTAATGTTTGCTTAGTAATTTTATTAATCTAACTCTCAAAATTCTTCATAATAATCATAACCTAACTGTTCCTCGTCTAATTTAGTATGATTCTCCAGCTTTTAAATTAGAAATACAAAATAAAGTTGATTTTGAAGATCCAAATTTATTATAAAAAAGTGAACATAAAGAAAGTCTTGAAAAAGTGAGAAATCAATAGAATTGATGAAGTAGAAGGAAATTATAAATCATTAAAACTATTTCAAATTGAAATGTAATATACCAGTGGAAAGAAAACTCTTACTTAATAATAGAAAGTTTAGTGATTAAGTTGAAATTGCAATTATCAAATAAACACAATAGATAAAAAGAGACTCATCACCTAATCTGAAAATTAAAGAATCCCTTGGATATAATTATTTTATTTTGATTTAGTGGCCTAAAAGATGGTTCTATATCATAAAGTTTTTAAGTAAGTTAATGTCTGGATAACCAAAAAAATTAAAGTAAACTAATTTGATGTGAAAAGCTTTTAATATTAATCAAAAAGTTTATCCTTTCAATCCGTCTTCTCAAATTGTTACAGTCGCTATATGGTATAATATTCCTAAATTATATCTTCAAGTTGGTTGGATTCGCACTTATAGAGTCTAAGCTATTATTTTATAGGTGTTTACATTTAAGAATTATATACAGAAAATAGATGGCATATAGGACATTAATATCTAATCAATGGGTTATTTCATCTCATAACTTGTATCTTAAATTTAGTGATATAATAATATTAAATTAGTTCTATTAATATTATTTAGAATCTAAAGACTATATATTACAGATATTTATATGATTTTTTGTAATAGATTTTCATTTTTATTTAACAGAAATAATATTTCATCATTTTTAATAGATTTTAAATTGGAATTTTTGTTTTTCAACTAAAACTCATGTATTAAATCGAGTATTTTGAATAATGTAATACCATTGTTGATTATACATATAATTACAACGATTCATACAAAATTCTTTGAAGATTAGTAATTTTATATCTGTAAATAGATTATTAGATTACAATTATCTCGATAAATATATAAAATCTTTGTAATGGATAATATATTAAATCACAAATAATGGAAATNTACTAGAAAAAACAATATTATGGAATCACAATTAATTGTATTTTATTCCATTTTCTTATGTAGTAATTATAAAACTAAAAAATTTAATAAGCAATATAATTTTAAGTTAATATGGATTAGTTTTAAGATCAAATCAATATCCTAACAAAGAAATTGCAAGATCTTATAAATGAAAATAATTAACTCCAAGAATAATATTTGAGTTAACAATTTTATATCGAAGAATTTTTATTCTAAGAGTAAGATCAATTCAATGATATTCATAACTTTGGATAAATGCAAAAAAATAATTATTTGTTATTATTTAATTTTTAAATTAATGTTTGCTTAGTAATTTTATTAATCTAACTCTCAAAATTCTTCATAATAATCATAACCTAACTGTTCCTCGTCTAATTTAGTATGATTCTCCAGCTTTTAAATTAGAAATACAAAATAAAGTTGATTTTGAAGATCCAAATTTATTATAAAAAAGTGAACATAAAGAAAGTCTTGAAAAAGTGAGAAATCAATAGAATTGATGAAGTAGAAGGAAATTATAAATCATTAAAACTATTTCAAATTGAAATGTAATATACCAGTGGAAAGAAAACTCTTACTTAATAATAGAAAGTTTAGTGATTAAGTTGAAATTGCAATTATCAAATAAACACAATAGATAAAAAGAGACTCATCACCTAATCTGAAAATTAAAGAATCCCTTGGATATAATTATTTTATTTTGATTTAGTGGCCTAAAAGATGGTTCTATATCATAAAGTTTTTAAGTAAGTTAATGTCTGGATAACCAAAAAAATTAAAGTAAACTAATTTGATGTGAAAAGCTTTTAATATTAATCAAAAAGTTTATCCTTTCAATCCGTCTTCTCAAATTGTTACAGTCGCTATATGGTATAATATTCCTAAATTATATCTTCAAGTTGGTTGGATTCGCACTTATAGAGTCTAAGCTATTATTTTATAGGTGTTTACATTTAAGAATTATATACAGAAAATAGATGGCATATAGGACATTAATATCTAATCAATGGGTTATTTCATCTCATAACTTGTATCTTAAATTTAGTGATATAATAATATTAAATTAGTTCTATTAATATTATTTAGAATCTAAAGACTATATATTACAGATATTTATATGATTTTTTGTAATAGATTTTCATTTTTATTTAACAGAAATAATATTTCATCATTTTTAATAGATTTTAAATTGGAATTTTTGTTTTTCAACTAAAACTCATGTATTAAATCGAGTATTTTGAATAATGTAATACCATTGTTGATTATACATATAATTACAACGATTCATACAAAATTCTTTGAAGATTAGTAATTTTATATCTGTAAATAGATTATTAGATTACAATTATCTCGATAAATATATAAAATCTTTGTAATGGATAATATATTAAATCACAAATAATGGAAATACAATAGAAATTGATGGTTACTAAATTTCTATTTATTTATAATTCTTACCATTTTAACGACTATTTTTGGTTACTTTATTACTATTTATTTGATATCGCATATTATTAGTTTTGGAAGATAGACAAATAAATATTAGAAAAGTGTTTACCTTAATGAAAATATATAAAAATATCTACTTTGAGATAAAATTGAATCTATTGATATTGAAATGTTATAACTAGATTTATAAACAAATATAAGATAAGAATTGTTTATGTTTTACTAAAAAAATTGCCATTTTCTAAATAATTCCTTTCAAATCTATCAGAAACTTAACAGTGCTGTCTATTAGAATGGGACAATCTTAGAATTTTAAAATTAATTGATGGATAAATTATACTTTATAATGAAGGAAAATGTAGCTCAATGTATTGGTAATAAAATATTAGCCTATAATTAAATTCTAATTTAGTATTTTTATTGTTAAATATAATGTCCTATTTAATTGAAGTGCATAAGTGAATCTTTAATTGAGTTTATTGATTTGAATGATTTTTTAGTGTTAAATAAAAATGTATAACTCTAATTTTCAGAAATTTTGCATGTTGAAAGACAATCATAAAATTCATTTTCATTGTTGTGGTGATAATAATTACACCTTCCATAAATGTAATCATGTTTTATGTATCAAATTTTAAAGAATTAATCCTATTACATAATGAATCTGAACCAACTCATAGATGTAGAATTTATAGAGATAATGAATAGAATAAAATCTCTAATAAATAAAAACCTTGTATGCATTAGTGCTATCAGTTTTGTTGTAATAAATCAAATACCTCTTGAAGTTGATTTAACGAATGTAGTCATGGTTAGATTTTAAGGAAATGTAAGCAATTTTGAAAATTCTATACTCAATTTGATAATATTTATAATAAGTAAAAGTATAAAATGTGAATTAAAATAAAGATATATATTTTAAATGATTTTTAAGAAAATAGATCATCTCTTTAATCTTTGTAATAAAAACATGGAACTTTTAATGCTCCAAAAAGTTATAATTAAGGATAGGATACTTCTAGTTGTTAGACTTTTAAATAAACAAATTTAAGTTATTTTTTAAATATTAAATCTTGATTGGGAGTTTCAGGAATGGTTAAATAGGTTCAATAATATCATAATAGGAAAATAATGAAGATGATTTAGATTAAGTGTGTAATTATGAATATTATTATTCTTCATATAATTTCGAATATATAGCAAATGCATTAAATCATAAACAATTGAGCAAATACATACTCTTTGTCAATTGATTATATATAAATGTACTTAAACAGAAAATATAAATATACATATGATTACAAAATTAAAACAATTGATAAATGATAATTCTGGATCCCAAGTCAATACTCCTGTTCTTAATGCACTAAAGGACTTAAAATTAAATATTTATGATTCTCAATTTATATAACAAGCAGAGATATACAAAAGATTAAAACATTTATTCGCGAATGATCAAATCAAAAGTAATTGTATAAAGGAAAATTACTTTCTTTAAGTAGTGATTAATAGTGGTAGGTGATTACTTATAATAAGAGAAAAATTTCTCTATTAAATTGAAAATGCTTTTCTTAGTGCATATTATACATAAATTGATAAATCTATATTCGTTAATTATAATGAAATTAAGTTTACAATAGATTTCTATAAAGATTAATTTATTTTTAAATCTCGATGTTGTTTAGTGTTTTTATATTGTATCATCATTTCTTAAGTAGCAAGAGCTGGATTTTAAAAATGATTATCAGCACTTGTTTAATTATAAATATCAAGAGTAAAGATGACATTGAGAATATACATGGATAATTGTGTTAATCATATTGCTGCTTAAACAACTTAAATAAATAACGAATTCAATAAACTTTAAGATGATCTTATGATTTATTTAGCTTTGCCTAATTAATGTTACATAAATAGGGATGAGTGTGTAAATATTAATAGAAAAGATTAATTAGTTAATCAGAATCTTGAACATAATCCTGTTATGACTGGTTTAGTTATATTCTTATATTTTGACATTCAGGATGTCTATATATTTATAATGAAGGATGTTAAGAAAAACCTCTCCTAAAATAACCTTTTATTAAATCAGGTTCTCATTATTTTAGAAAACCTTTATCTGTTAAAAATTCAGAGAGGATATTTTAAGAATATTATAGACCCTTTTCTTAAAACTAGAAGATGCCTTAGTGATTTTAAATTTCAATTTTTAATACTTAATTTCCCTATGAATTAAAATAAATAATAACTAGTGCACTTATATTAAATATGGCATCTAACAACAAATTCTTATGTCGAGGTAGATTAATGACAGGATAAAGAGCAATTTACAAGAGCTCCATTCATTGTCTATATATCACAATAGATTTGGATTGTTTTGCATCCTTCTCTTCCAATCATATCATATGTCATGTATTTTAGTTGTGTGCTCCTTCTATTTTTAACATAGTTCACTGATCCAGTAATTTATACCATTTATAATATACAGGGAATTATACCTAGAAAAGAAATCATAGAAAAAACGAGGGATGAAAATCTAATACAATTAATACCATTTAATTGAAGCTGATAATGCGAATTATTTTGTTAAAAATCTATGTAACTTGCATGATTAAGAAACAATCTCTTTTTAACCATTGTGCAGAATGTGATAATTGTATTGATGTGTCCTTTTATTAAAAATTACATAGGCAAAAAAAATTATGCATACTTCAGATCCTTCATTACAGCACTTACTATGGCAGCAATTTCCTTTGAAATAGAATTTTTATGTTTCGTTATACTCATTGCAACAACAGTTCAAAAAATTCAGCAAATTCTTATCATTATTTTGATGATTCCATTTGGAATTTGCATACTGTTAGTTTTTGATTTACTTATAACTCAAAAATTTTGAAAAGGCTTCCACGCATAGTAAATGAGAAAGAACTAAAATTCTTTTCATCTTTAAAGAGATAGTTGAAAAAAAATGATTTGATAAAATAAGATATGATTAAGAAATAGTTGATGCTATTCAAGCTTGATCTGAATTTAATCATTATTATAGTTATTTTATCCACCTTACTGCAATTTTAAACAAAATAAATAAATCTATTACCATAACCAATTTCCTAAATCTATTAAATAAATAAAAAATTCAATTAATTTCTTGATATAAGAAGATAATTTCTTAATCTAAGAAACATTTTTATGTTTTTAAATAAGTACTCTTATTAATATTTCTGATTACTTCTTAAATACCATATATTCCTATAATTAGTTATTTAGAGATATGTTGTAAGTTTTCAAAAGAATTATTACTGAAGAATCTAGAAGGATTTTAAGAAAATAACTGAATTATTTATCAAACAAAACTAAAAAAGTAATTTACTTGAAAAAAATTTAGGAGACATAATTACTTTCCTTTATAAATTAATAATGGCTTAAAAATGATATCTTTTTAGATCAATTGCATATCTGTTATTTTAACTCTTTGATTTGATCAGGTTATTTGAAAGTGATGAAAAAAAAGCAGAAACCAAATAAAATTGGTATTATATTTTATATTCAGCTGTTTAATATGTATTCTTTGCAATTCATAATAATATCTCTTACCCCTGTAATAAAGTTTCATTGATGTCCATAATTATTAACATCTTTAGAAGACTTTATATTAAGCAAATCAATTAAATAAACTCCTACTGATCTATTACTATAAATACCTACACTATAAAGTGTTAAATAAATGAATATTTAATATTTTAATCAGATCAAAAATGTTTAGATATGACAAAAATTGTTTAAATTTGATGGGAAAATGATTTATATACCCAATTGGTGGTTTTATGTCCTTGTATTGATTATAACAATATAAAATTATGTTTTGCCTTATGTATCTATGATTTTAAATTGTGCAATTTTTGGTATAACTATTTTACATTTTGCAAAGCATAACTTTTGGTTTTAGAAAGAAATGTGAATTTTTTCATAAACCCCTTCTAATTCATACGGATTCCTATTTACTCATTGCCAATACTAATTACTGTATTATTTTAGGAATAAATCTCCTTCCAAGTAATACTAAAGCAACCTTCCATAGCTAGCACTGCTCTACATCATCTTGTAGATCTATCTATGAAGGGTTATTTTAGAAAGTTTTAAATAGATCTTGGTTAGAAGGCAAAACATTTGGAATTAGGAGATTTTATCAAAACTTTATATTGTTGTATGAAGCCAGTCTACTGATGAAATATCATATCATCTCTTGAAAATAAATAGACTCAAAAAAAACATAAATTACTATAAATTCTTCTTGTACTGTTAATGATGCAGAAAAAAAAGTTATTATGAATTAAAATTAAATTTCTTAAAATATAAATATTATCAAATATTTGGAAATGATAGAAATATTAATAACAATTCCAGATAATGTTTAAAATTAGAAATTAATATCATTTGTAGATCAATTATGTTATGTATAATTTATTGCCTAAAATCTTTAATATATCAGAAAGAAAAGTAATATAAAAATCCAAATGGATTAGATTAAAAATTTTCTTTCACAATTGTTAATAATGGAAATAAAAATAAGATATTATAACAATTTTTTATTGAAAATCCAAATTTTATATTTAAAAGTAATAGTGTTTAAGTATTAGTTAGATAGTTTTATAAAAATTAAAGATTTTAAGTATATTAGGAAGGAGTACTTTAGGCTCTTTTTTGATTAAATTAAACGAAGTTTAAAGTTACCAAAAAATTAAGATATTCAAGTTTATATTTCATCAATTACATTTAACATTAAATCCAAAAACAGATTATAACAACTTATTGACTTTGTAATTCATTTATAATAAACTACTAGTATAATTCTCTAATTAAAGTTTCATAGTTCTAGATTATAGCAATTTTGATAAATTAAATTTTGCATAGTAATCAATTATTTTATGCAGTACTATTTAATTGACTGAAATAGATTATCAGGGTAAGTAGAACATAGTTAATTATGAGTTTTTTGTTATTTCATTCAAAATTTTCACTTTCTATAAACACAATTTAATTAAAAATATTGATAAAGTAGAGAATTTATTCTAAAGAGCACTAACGTGAATGTTATTTCACTCACCATGTTTTCACTATGGCAATCGAACATTTATGAAATATTNATAACAATATAAAATTATGTTTTGCCTTATGTATCTATGATTTTAAATTGTGCAATTTTTGGTATAACTATTTTACATTTAGCAAAGCATAACTTTTGGTTTTAGAAAGAAATGTGAATTTTTTCATAAACTCCTTCTAATTCATACGGATTCCTATTTACTCATCGGCAATACTAATTACTGTATTATTTTAGGAATAAATCTCCTTCCAAGTAATACTAAAGCAACCTTCCATAGCTAGCACTGCTCTACATCATCTTGTAGATCTATCTATGAAGGGTTATTTTAGAAAGTTTTAAATAGATCTTGGTTAGAAGGCAAAACATTTGGAATTAGGAGATTTATTCACTTAAATGGTGATATCAAAACTTTATATTGTTGTATGAAGCCAGTCTACTGATGAAATATCATATCATCTCTTGAAAATAAATAGACTCAAAAAAAAACATAAATTACTATAAATTCTTCTTGTACTGTTAATGATGCAGAAAAAAAAGTTATTATGAATTAAAATTAAATTTCTTATTATCAAATATTTGGAAATGATAGAAATATTAATAACAATTCCAGATTAGATAATGTTTAAAATTAGAAATTAATATCATTTGTAGATCAATTATGTTATATATAATTTATTGCCTAAAATCTTTAATATATCAGAAAAAAAAGTAATATAAAAATCCAAATGGATTAGATTAAAAATTTTCTTTCACAATTGTTAATAATGGAAATAAAAATAAGATATTATAACAATTTTTTTTTGAAAATCCAAATTTTATATTTAAATGTAACAATCAAATATAATGAACAAAATAATTAGTGTTTTAAGTATTAGTTAGATAGTTTTATAAAAATTATAGATTTTAAGTATATTAGGAAGGAGTACTTTAGGCTCTTTTTTGATTAAATTAAACGAAGTTTAAAGTTACCAAAAAATTAAGATATTCAAGTTTATATTTCATCAATTACATTTAACATTAAATCCAAAAACAGATTATAACAACTTATTGACTTTGTAATTCATTTATAATAAACTTCTAGTATAATTCTCTAATTAAAGTTTCATAGTTCTAGATTATAGCAATTTTGATAAATTAAATTTTGCATAGTAATCAATTATTTTATGCAGTACTATTTAATTGACTGAAATAGATTATCAGGGTAAGTAGAACATAGTTAATTATGAGTTTTTTGTTATTTCATTCAAAATTTTCACTTTCTATAAACACAATTCAATTAAAAATATTGATAAAGTAGAGAATTTATTCTAAAGAGCACTAACGTGAATGTTATTTCACTCGCCATGTTTTCACTATGGGAACATTTATGAAATATTATTCTAGTTTATTAAACCTATTTAATAATTTTCATCCTAATTGGTTGTTTATTAATAATTTGAACTGGGTAATTATTTCATTTAATAAAAATAGATTGAATCGGATTAGTATTTATATCATATTTTAAGTATAAACATGAATGTACGAAATCCTCTTTCCACTTATCTTGAAAATAAGAAGAGAATGAAAACATACAGGCTTATGAGTCTTACTAATATG